TTCTATTAAATTTCATGAAATTACCTATTATATATAGTTTGCATCCTTCGTTCGTCGTGCCAAAAAGACGTTTTCGTCTGTTTAGAATGTAATGACAAGTTCAGACTTTATCGTACTTTTTGGGAATAATGCGGTCTGTACTCTTCAACCTTTTGTTGAACAGAGTGTGGTCTCCTTCCAGAAAGAACTATATTGAAATATTAGGAGCGCTGGTAGCATCGTTAACATACTGCTTTAGTTTGTAACCTAAAGTATTACGCGATACCATACCTTGGTCTTTGCCTGCATTCCACTACAGAGGTATCGAGATCGGACTGTGTAAAGCAAACAGGAATAGTAACCAGCAATTTTTTGGAGTTATTACATAAATTAAAGAGATAACAATCCAGCTGATACTTATGAACGAAGCAGCCTATCAACTTAACCTCAAAATCGAGATCAATATGATCAAGGAAAATATCCGACGAGTATAAAATGACCTTTAAAATCATGTCTGGATAAATACTGAGATAATTCAACCTTATGGGGCATGTACTGAGTGAGTAATGCAGTGACATTCGTCTGCCATGACTAGCAGCATGATCGTCGACCAGGTAAATGTGTAAATAACTATGTTTATTGTAGGTCGTTGCGTGCTGGCTAATGACCAGCATCTACTCGCAAACAGGGATCATCGAAGAAAATCTGGGCAACAGCGAGAGACAGGTCGGTGCCTGTGACATGAACCCAGAAACGGCAAAACTGGCCGCCCAGTGGATGCAATCCCGAAACCACACGTTCCAGACACATCTCCTGAAACCTGGCGGAATCGCGCTGCGCTTCATTCCCGGAAGAGCGGTGCAAAACGGTTCGGTACTGTACGGTCACATTCACTGCCCAGACAAGCTGATGGACAACCGAGAGGTGGGCTTGAACGACCGTTCGCTGTGTCCGTGGTACTGGAAAGCCAACTACGATCCGTACCGATTCCCGAGTATGCTTCCGGAAGCGCTGTGTCGATGCAGCAAAGCCGTACTGCCAAACAGTTTCTCGTACGAGTGCGAGGTGATCACGTACCAAGTGAAAGTGTTGAGATTCGACCGCAGCTGTCTGTTCTACAAAACTGACTTCGAGGAACTAGCCGTCGCCTGCGTCCCAGTGCTTGAATCGGTGGCGCGAAACTTCGCCAACCCACAGATACTTCAGAGCTTGATACAGCCTTTCGACTACTGACGAACGTTTGCCGCGAAACGGCTGGGTATAATGTTTCTGTCAAACGCTCTTCGTACTAATAAACTTATTCCAACGTGCACGACTCATTAGAAATTACTTATCAGCAGATTTAAATAAATAAATTTATTATGACAAAGACAAATAAGAAATTTCGTTACTGAGGTAGCAGGCAAGTAAACGGTATACTACAAGATATGTAGGAGTACATAGAAAAATCATCATGACCCAGATGTTTTAGGGCAGTCACCACGTAGTAGGTTTACAAATCCGCCGATGCCGAATTTTCTCAACGAAGGCGCAAAGTCCTTTGTTTCAAGTCGCCTGGGAAGGAGAGTGTATTTCAGCAGGCCGGCTCTGTACACCTGCAGAGCATTGGAAACAGGACCGTATCATTGAGCTGGACTGAACCAGGGCACGTTCGATCACTAACTAAACTTGCCAGTATCCGTAGACAAACAGACCGACAAAGCCTAAGTCAGATATTCCGGTGGAGCTACAAGACAGTAACCTTCCAGTTACGTAGAAGTAAATATTGAGTATAACAGCTAGGCATCAGAAGTCACGGAACGGTATTACCTCTCACCACTGCGAAAATGCGAAAAACCTTTTCTCACAGTTGCACACACTTGTGGCATCTCATGTAGTCGAACCATATCAAATAGTCAAACCCGAAAAATCTGGAATGCTTCGCTATTCAAACCTTTTAAGTCTCAGACGAAGATGACAAAAACAATCACAACAACAGAGAAAGTTTCGATAAAACCGTGAATATCTAATCAGCCAAATCACTATAACACATCCATTAAAGCGCAACATGAAGAAAGGTTAAAGCTTCATGCTATGACCTCATACCGGTAACAACACTGAATGATAAAATTACGTTTGCCCTTGTGCTCTAAGGGGTACTGCAGTGACTGACCAGTTAGCGCCAAAACCATACGCTCGCATATAGTGTGACAATGACAGGTCCACAACGCACTACTTCCAGATTTCGTGCAGTACTGCTTGAATCAGGCTAGTCTGGAAAGCTACCGACTAAGGCACAGGTGTTACATAGGGCATTCATGACTGTTACCTGAGAAGCCGCATAATAAGTAACAGACAGCCAATTACATTAACGTAACGTTGCATAATCGGCCAGCTTAAAACCGCTTGTTTGACTAAAAGGCGAAATTACCAACAACGGTTTATGCTCACAATGGTCTCACGCCTACTGTAAGCACCAGCGTGATAATCTGCCATCGTCCTGACGACAACCACGCTGAGAGACCATGGGACAGATGGCCGATATGACTAGCTCGATCAGACATAACCAGCAATGATTCAGTTTAGCCTTAATTGCCATGGGTAACAGTTCGTTGGCAAAACGGCGATCCAACGGCTGATCACGTACTACTACTGTTCATGAAGGCGCTGATCTTCGCCTGGTTCTACAAAATGACAATAAAGATACTTACGATACTATGTTATACAAAGCCATAACTTCGTAACAAGTGGCAAGGAGTCACAGTTATAGACGCAATCAACAAACACTTATCATGATCTTTACTTTACTGCCAAGGTTTCGTTTCAATAAAGCCAAATAATACCGATAATCTAGAAGGCAAATAGTGACGTTTCATTATTTGTCATTGGCATGATCGAAAGGTCGGCAGCAAAATAAAGACTTTAACATCTGTCAACTGATTGCTTCTATATCCATCGAGTCCACACCACTTTATAGCGGAAGAGAAGACATGATTGATCTTTCTTGGTGGAAAGCACTCGTGGTCGTCAGCATGGTCCTGACCGGGTACATCATCTGATTCAAGCCAGACGTTATTTCAAAAGAAAACACGCATCGCAAACAAAGTAGACACATGAAAAAAATTTTTTCCAAAATTTAGGAATTTTCAAAATTATTTTTTAAACTTTCGACAAACGTTTCCAAGTCGCAACTTTCAAGGACTATTACTCGTCTGAATGAATGCAACTCTTCTTCCTCTAACTTCATATCAACCTCGTAGTCGAAAGTGACGTGGCTCACCTAAAAATAATAAATGTGAAAAGTAAAATTTGACTAGTGTAATTTACTTATCATTTAATTGACTCAAGGCCTGTGTCAATCTTACGACAACGATCAAGAGTACAAAGCATCCATCAAACAGCATAATAATGTTTTGGAAGTTGCAACATATTTTCCCCAAAGCTCCATCGAATTAAATAAAATACAAGTCGTCCTCTGACCACCAACAAGATAAATGTCAGTATGCTAAATACATAATATTATGGAGAGCAGCTCAGGCGTTGTTATTTAGGAACGACTGCCTCATCTTCATACAAAACATGACGGAGCTCCAGCAGAAGGTCCAGCAATTGCAAGAAGAATCATTAATCACAAGATCAGAGGTCAACGCGAATGAGGAAGAACTCGAAAAAGGTACCAGCTATAAATACTCTGGCTATCATGTGAACCTCAGGACTTCTTTAAGCGATGAAAGCAGCAGAAAGAGAAAAGGGACAGCTTTAAACATACTGAAACATTGCTGATCATCAGTGAGCCGCCCATTCGTAAGGAGAAAGAACTGTTCGCTTCAGGCAATTCTACCGGCCACAATCGAAAGTACCAAATGCTGGTTGGGCTATTAAAGCTGAGAACTGCAAACTGATAGTCAGGCCAAAAAGCGACGGAGCGAAGAACCTGCAAGATCTCCAAACGAGTTGACATTCCTAGTGCACAAATTTGAAAACGGACTGGATTAACAGACATGATTTCTGTCTTCAGCGACGTCCAAACAAAGATGAGCCAGTGA